TCCTGTTTTTATTTGAAACTTCTGTTAGAATATACTTTTCGTTACCAAGAAAATTAAAAAAATAAATACTGAGTATTTTTTGTATCATGTAGAATTTTTTTTTGATTGACTGTAATTTTTCAACATTTCGTAACGCCTATTTTAGAACCAAAATAAGGCCTTTCACTCTTCCCCGACGCCTATTCAAGAGATTGTACGTTGTATTGTTTGTTTTGTGCATGTGTTGTGGACAAAAAATGACCACGCCCATTTAGTGATTGCAGTATGTACGTAATAGAAACCGCACCCCGAACTTGAGCTTTTGATCCCAATTTTTAAATTGATACATTGTAATATAAACCGCGGTTTATAATAGGACTTTAACGGTAATGAGTGTGATCTATAGTAGGTAGGCATCAACAGGAGAGTGGGTATAGTAAGCAGGCATAAAAGGGTGTGGTCCAGAGTATGTAGGCATCAATGTGTTAGTGGGTCAAGTAGGCAGGATAAATTGGTGTGGTTCGAAGTAGATGGGCATAATAAATGGGTGTGATCTAGAGTGAGTAGGCGTCAATGGGTCTAGTAGGCAGGCATAAATGGATGTGGTTCAAAGTAGGTGGGCATCAATGGGTGAGTGGGTCAAGTAGGCAGGCATAAACAGATGTGGTCCAGAGTAGACAGGCATCAATGGGTGAGTGGGTCTGGTAGGCAGGCCTAAATGGGTGTGATTCAGAGTAGGTTGGCATCAATGGGTGAGTGGGTCAAGTAGGCACACATAAACAGGTGCGATCCAGAGTAGGTTGGCATCAATGGGTGAATGGATCTAGTAGGCAGGCCTAAATGGGTGTGATTCAGAGTAAGTGGGCATCAATGGGTGAGTGGGTCAAGTAGACAGACATAAACAGGTGTGGTTCGGAGTAGGCAGGCATCAATGGGTGAGTGGGTCTGGTAGGCAGGCCTAAATGGGTGTGATTCAGAGGAGGTGGGCATCAATGGGTGAGTGGGTCAAGTAGGCAGGCATAAACAGATGTGGTCCAGAGTAGGCAGGCATCAATGGGTGAGTGGGACGGGTAGGCAGGCCTAAATGGGTGTGATTCAGAGTAGGTGGGCATCAATGGGTGAGTGCGTCAAGTAGGCAGACATAAACAGGTGTGATCCAGAGTAGGTTGGCATCAATGGGTGAATGGATCTAGTAGGCAGGCCTAAATGGGTGTGATTCAGAGTAAGTGGGCATCAATGGGCGAGTGGGTCAAGTAGACAGACATAAACAGGTGTGGTCCAGAGTAGGTGGGCATCAATGGCTGAGTGGATCTTGAAAGACATCCATGAGACAAGTCTAGATTGGGTGACAAAGAGATTACGAAGTTGATTGATAAGATTGGTTTTGTAAATGTGCCTTTTATTAGAGTCAAGTTTACATACCTGCGTCAATGATTCCTTGTGCCATGATAGCACCGTATTTAGCCATAACATCATCATGTTTATCATTGATTACTTTAGAGTACATTGTGCGGAAACTAGCAACCTGAAACCAAATTGTCAGAAGTTAAGCACAATTTGTAAATGTATTAGACAAACAGTAAATTTTGAGACTATAATGTCCAATTAAACAGTAGCGGAAAGCACTGCAGCTGTTAAACCATACAGTAGGAATATAAATGTACACATTAAACTGAATGGGTGATAGATATTGTGAATCAGGTTGGTCAATTACTCTTAATTTTATAATAGCTTATCTCTAGGATAAGACAAGTCATATATCACAATACAATATATCTAAATGTATGTATAAATTAAAGTAGAGAGAGTATCTCAAGATAGATGGAAGGGGGAGACTAATTATAATTCATTCATTTGCTGTAAACATTGTCTAAAAAGAAACACACTATACATGTATGCATTTTATAAGTTTCCTGGTTCTGTGTTAGTAAAACTGAACGTGTCCTTCATGTCATATTTAATTCATTTACTCTCAAGCATGCTGATAAAAGCATACCATAAAAACCACTCAAATCACCATCCTGTCATTCCCCACTTTGTAAACCATACCAAACAAATTAATAATAGGTCAATATGGTCAGACTTGTTAATGACGCCCAGTATTAATTGATAGCAAAAACAACATTGTCATCCATCTAATTTCTTTTTCTGCATCAAAACTGTGCAAAATATGTATTAAGTCTATGTTACCTAAAACTAAATTTCTTAAGTCTCATGTTGCCGAGTATATTTAACAACATTTAAACCAAATAAACTGAGGTTAATTCATTTGTATACCACAATCTCGTGAAATTCTTGTGGTATACCCGCTTTCTGTGGTAGTTTATTGCTTCAGTTTCCAATTTGCATAAAGACAGAGAACAAGCGAAGGTTTGTGGGAATAAACATATGGCCAGATCAATACATCACATGCCCAAGGGTGGTATAAGTAGATGTATTGCAATATATTAGTGCCTACCTACATTGGTATTATTATTACAGCACAGAGAAGGATTTTCACCTGTGATGATATATATGCAAATGTTGACATTCGCATTGAACAAGTACCAAGAGTTAAGGTCAAGTTAAGTTAAGGTTGATTAAGGTCAATACAATTGGGGAAAAGGTTCATAGAATTGAAACGATGTTCCAATTGAAGAATTTTTGTTTTTGGTTGAACAGCAATTAGATGAAATAGAATAACAAGCAGCCTCTCGGCTGAGATAGCTCCGCTGAACAATATGCATAGTATCAATGCAATGGGACTTGCTGTTTTCAACAAGAATTCAAAAATATAATTTTTCACCATAAATGATTATGGTTTTTAACAAGAAGAAAATAGCACTTTTTACCAAAAATGACAAAAATAATCTGAGAGAGGTCCACATGTAGTACATGTACCTATATATGTAATATCAAAGCAATTGGACTTGCGGTTTTTAACAAGAAGTTGAAAATATCACTTTTTACCAAAAATGACAAAAATATTCATCAAAATTAGAGAATTAAGGATATCATCATGAAATGAACAAATTTGAGAGTGGTTCATATGTAGTACCTATATATGTAATATCAAAGCAATTGGACTTGTGGTTTTTAACAAGAAGTCGAAAATATCACTTTTTACCAAAAATGACAAAAATAATCTGAGAGAGGTCCACATGTAGTACCTATATATGTAATATCAAAGCAATTGGACTTGCGGTTTTTAACAAGAAGTCGAAAATATCACTTTTTACAAAAAATGACAAAAATATTCACCAAAATTAGAGAATTAAAGATATCATTTCAAAATGAACAAATCTGAGAGAGATCCACATGCAGTACCTATATATGTAATATCAAAGCAATTGGACTTGCGGTTTTTAACAAGAAGTCGAAAATATCACTTTTTACCAAAAATGACAAAATATTCACCAAAATTAGAGAATTGAAGATATGATCATGAAATGAACAAATCTGAGAGAGGTCTACCCAAGGTACATATACACCAAGTATCAAAGCATTCAGGCTTGTAGTTTTCAAGAAGAAGTCGAATAAGTAAAACATTGACACGGACGGCGGACGAGGACGGACAATCACTCATATGATAAGCTCCGCTCGACAAAGTCGACAGCGGAGCTAAAAAAAAAATGATCTAGTAAATAATCTTATTTTTGAAGAGCTTGTGTTAGTTTGGTAATCAAGAAAGTTAAATTACAAGTAACCTAAATAATGTCAAGATAAAGATTAGCACTCAATTCATTTCAAAAAGAAAATATGTTTAAAATTCAATTGTAATTGTTCACAATCACTCCCTATTTCATTGCTTTCAGAGATGATTTTTTTTAACAATATCTCAATTACTGAGACATACTCAAACAGAAATTAATGGCTGGGATTGTACAGTAATATAAATTTTATAACAATCTGATACAAATGACAAATTATTACCACTACAAGAAAAGTTAATGGAGAAGATGATGGTAACATGCACCAATGACCATTTTTCAGGAAAACAAAAAATAGGAATAAACAATTTAAATGTCAGAAAAGTATTTTTCATTAGACAGCGCCCCCAGGAGGAAAGCATTGGAAAATACATTCACATTCCAAAAATTAAAAAAATCTTAACAATTTGGTTCCATGCTCATTCACCGGCAGGATATTATGTTCATTCATTTGGATTGGATTATATGCATATTTTCTGAGCAGCAACAACTTACCACACATTGTGGTAGGACATATTTACCTTAGGACATGTGACTTCATTCTGTTGTATCATAATCAAAGCAGATGCTATAAATGCTCCTTGTCTGACATAATTCACTGGATCATTGGTCATAGGCTCCAACAAGTTGATGGCTTCCTAAAACATAATTATATACACAAGTTAGCTATCACTGATTAAGCCACACAATATCTAGTTTTAATCTGGAAGTGTTGAGTACAGGACATGACCTGAATAGAATCATGCACATGTAACTATTTTATTGCTGCAAGAATATAATGTTTTCAAGAATGTGCAAAGAAAGATATGGTTCCTATAGGATAGATAAAAAGTCACATAGCAAAGTCTTGAATATATTACGCATGACTTAATTTGCGTCAAGTTTGTTTATAGGTTTACACAGCAGCTGTGGGCCTTCCATGGACAGTGTACATGAAGCATACAATCGTAGCATATACATAGACTAGATATAGGTGTCCAGAGACACAGTGGTAAATTAAATTATTATAGCCATCTATCTCCATGCAGAGAATTCAAAGTGAACTTTCCATTGGCACAATGCATTCTACCCCTGTTTGGACCATTTCCATCAACAATTCACTCAAATTTCTGCAGTGATGAGAAAGATGTGTGAAAGATGTGTAATGCTATTTTCTACATTATTCAAGTAGCTGTATAGTATAAGGGTGCCATAAGTGGAATTTATTTATTCAATTGGCTGTGGTATTTAGATGGAGATGAAAACCTGTCCAAACATTACTTAGTCAGAGAAAATGTCGATGATACAATCATCACATACTCGGTTGTTATTGATAGATTGAGAAATGAATACCGCTGAATGCTTGCATAATATTTATTTGTAAGTCCTCATATGAGGCATGTGCAGTAACATGCATATTATGGGAAATAAAGTCCAGTGAATCCCCCAAGAGATTCAAATCTAGTAAAAATATCAAACATTTGGTGGTGTATTTTGACAAAATAAGCGATCTATTGGAATTGCATATTATCCTGTGGGATGGGTCATGCATCAACTGCCAGTAGTGGATTTGGGAATGCCAACTTTCGTAGGGATGGAAATTGATAAATATCTGACCTGGGATAATCACATTTCAAAGATCAACAAGTCATTGAAAATGACACAGTCCCCGTTAAGTTCTCTTTGTGCTCATCATATTAAAGCGGAGGGGTTGTCGCGAGCGTGTCCTTGAAACTTGAGTTCTAAGTGGCGTATACAACAGATTGTTTATTTACATCAAAACACGTGTTTCGTGTCATAGTAATATGGCCAAAATAAAAACAGCCGTTATTCAGCCATCTTTGATCTGATTATGAAACACACTGATATGTATGATGTATGTGCCAAATACGAATGAAAATGGTACATAAATTGTGGAAATATAGTAGTAAGGCCAAAAAGTCAGATGGCTGTCAATCGGCCATCATTGACCAGATTTTGAAACAAATTGTCATGGATATGCATCCTAACATGTATAAAGTACATGTATGTGCCAAATTTGAATGAAAACTGACAGAGCACGTCCAAGATACCACATAAAAAAACAAAAACAAGATGCCTGCCAGTCGACCATCTTTGATCCATCATGGACATGTATCCTAACATGTATAATCTATGTACCAAGCTTGAATGACAACTGACAAAGCATGTCTAAAATACAACATTTTCAAAAAACAAGATGGTTGCCAGTCGGCCATTTTGAATCGAATCGCTAAACCACTGCATGTGCATGTCCCACATAAGGTACTAGGCACATGCAAAGAATGAACAGAATCGGTCCACAGGATTCTGAAATATGACGTTGGATAGACTGACGCACGGACAGACGGACACACGGACGGTCGGACGGGCAGACTCAGGAACTCACGGACGGTCGGGGACATGTATCCTAACATGTATGATCTATGTACTAAATTTGAATGAAAACTGACAAAGCATGTCCAAAATACGACATTTTCAAAAAACAAGATGGCTGCCAGTCGGCCATCTTTGATCCAATTGTGAAATAAATCATCATGGACATGTATCCTAACATGTATAATCTATGTACCAAGTTTGAATGAAAACTGACAAAGCATGTCCAAAATACAACATTTTCAAAAAACAAGATGGCTGCCAGTCGGCCATTTTGAATCGAATCGCTAAACCACTGCATGTGCATATGTCCCACATAAAGTACTAGGCACATGCAAAGAATGAACGGAATCGGTCCAAGGGACTCTGAGATACGACTCCAGACGGACACACGGACGGATGGAGACCGAATTATAAGTCCCCGTTTTCGGACTTCGTCCGAACGGGGACTAATAAAACTATTAGGAAAAAGACGGGTATTCTTTTAAAATTAAGACATTATGTCCCACGGCATATTCTCCTTTTGTTATACAAAACGTTGATTCAGCCTCATATCACCTATGGTTTAGAAGTTTGGGGTAGTACATTCCCGTAAAATCTTAAATTTATACATACCGCACAAAAAATGATAGCCAGAATTATAACATTACTGCGCATGCTCCACCAATTTTTAATACTCTCCCAATTCTTGATATTTTTAAACTTCATAAGTCATTACTTTTAAGTTTTATGTATGATATGACTCGTGAGAATCTCCCACAATCAATGTCAACATATAATTTGCAGTATTTACATCATAAATATAGAACACGACAAAGATGTCGAAATGATTTACTTGTACCTAGAATGAACACAGTAGCGGGGACATTCGCAATATCTTATTTAGGGCCAAACTTTGGAACAGCATATCAATTTCTTTAAGTCTAAACAAAACTTACATCCAAAAATACTATACGAGAA